TCCACCTCCCACTCTCTCCCTATTTATTTCAGAACCCCCTTCCCCTGATGAAGGGTCTAGGCCCGAAACGTCAGCCTCTCTGCTCCTATGATGCTGCTTGGCCTGCTGTGTTCATCCAGCCCTGCACCTTGTTGTCTTGGATTCTCCAGCATCTGCAGTTCCTACTATCTCTAGAAAAATCTAGTCTCATTTGCCAGCATTTGGCCCATATCCATCTAAACTCTTCCTATTCATATATCCATCTAGATGTCTTTTAAATGTTGTAATTGTACTAGCCTCCTCCACTTCTTCTGGCAGCTCATTCCATACACGTACCATCTTCTGCATGAAAAAAATGCCCCGTAGGTCCCTTTTAAATCTTCCCCCTCTCATCTTAAACTATGCTCGCTAATTTTGGACTCACCCACCCTGGGGAAAAGACCTAGGTTCTTCACCCTATCCATGACTCTCATGATTTTATAAACTGCTTTAAGATCACCCCTCAGCCTCCGATATTCCAAGTAAAACAGCCCCAGTCTTTCCAACCTCTCCTCAAACCCTGGTAATGTCCTTGTAAATCTTTCCTGAACCCTTTCAAGTTTCACAACACCCTACAGCAGGGAGATCAGAATTGCATGCAGTATCCCAAAAGTCCGGTGCAGCCAGAACATGTACTCAATGCACTGGCCAATAAAGGCAAGTATACCAAAAGCCTTCTTCACTATCTTGTCCACCTGGGATTCCACTTTCAGGGAACTATTAACCTGCACTCCAAGGTCTCTTTGTTCAGCAACACTTCCCAGGACCTTGCCATTAAGTGTATAAGTCATGCCCTGATTTGCCTTTCCAAAATGCAGCATCTCATATTTACCTAAATTAAACTCCATCTGCCACTCCTTGACCCATTGTCCTATCTGATCAAGATCCCGTTGTACTCTGAGGTAACCTTATTGGCTGTCTACTATACTTCCGAGATAGTAGGAACTGCAGATGCTGGAGAATCCGAGACAACAAGGTGCAGAGCTGGATGAACACAGCAGGCCAAGCTCTACTATACTTCCGATATGGTTTTATCTGCAAACTTACCTACGTTCAAATCTACCAAAGAAACCTTCCTGTTTGAGCAAACTTTTCTTCAGCCAATGTAACATTCCTTTACGTACTCAGTCTCACATTCTGCACTATAACACTCCTGTGAAGTCCCTGAGGGGGAATGATGTATCATGCTTTCGGTGCTACAAAAATGTAAGTTGTTGTAGTGAGTTGTGGATCACGTGGATCACTGCATCACCCTCATGATGTAATTCCCCACCCCCCCGATGATGTCACGCTCCCCCACCGGGATCGCTGACCCCGCCCATCACACACGCCACCGAACTCCGCCCATCTGGTTGCATCACGGAGCCCCGCCCCCGCGTCACATCACTGGCTCCGCCTCTCCGGTGACGCCACCGTAGATGTTGCCGCCATGTTCTACTCCGGGGTGTTTTCTGTGGCACGATGTCCCGCTTGGAGCCGGGGTTTGTCCCGGGCCCGGAGCGCCTTGGCCCAGCTCAGCACGGTTCTGGAGGCCGAGTTGGAGGGCATCCGGGGTGCCGGAACCTGGAAGAACGAGCGGGTCATCACCTCCAAACAGGGAGCGCACATCAGAGTGGAGGGCAGCTCCGGAGGTAGGAGCATGGATTGTGCTGTGGGCCGGGGGTGTCAAGTATGAGATCGCCCCGTTATGAGGGGCCGAGTGGCCTTGTTGGCATTCCAAATGAGGACTGTAGGCGGCTGAATGGAGATAAGAGCCCACTGAGAGCTGGGGACTATCACTGGAGAAGGTCATGAGCCGTGGCTGCTCCGTTATTTCTTTCTGAAAAAGTCTGATTCCCAGCCAATGTGCTGCTAGTTGGCTCCTGACCTGGCCAGGCTGGTTGTGGAGCTTGGCCTCGGATCCTTCTGCTCACGGTGTGGAGGCAGTACTGTCTGAAATGCTTGGGGTGTTCCACTTTACTGACATGGTTAATTTTTTTTGTGAGAGTTATCTGTTGTACCAGGCTGAGGCAGGAGTCGGTCAGTCAGTGCATTTGGTGAAAATCCTGCATTAGCTCCTCAGTTGGCATTATTTTAACTTTGATGTTTTCAAGAGTGCCTGTCAAATTCACTTCGAAATTAAACAAAAACTTGAACTGTTCCCAGCCTCGACCTCAGTTGCAATGTGAGTTCTCTCCATGCCCTGAGTCATCTAAACAGCAATTCTTCCATGTCTCTCCCCTCCCTATTTCTGTGACCTCTGGTGAAGAAATTTTTTTACCCAGTGTTTAATGATCCTGTGAAGTTCTCTACCACAGAAAGTGGTTGAGGTCAAAACATTGAATGTTTTCGAGAGCAAATTAGATACAGTCCTTGGGGCTAAAGAGATCATAGGTTATGGAAAGATAGTGGCCACAACATTGGATGATCTACCATGATTGTATTGAATGCAGAGCAGGCTTGAAGGCCCAAATGGCCTGCTGCTGTTTTCTGTGTTTCCAAGTCAGGTTCTTGCTGCAGGAGAAGTATCATGTTCAGGATATACTAGTGAGCAGTCCAAGGCTACTTAAGCTGTGTTTTAAAGCTTGTGATGATGTGCTATCATCAGTAGTCCAAAGCTACTGGGTATGTAGAGTCCCTACCATGTAAAATAAAAGCCGAAACAACTGCGGATGCTGTAAATCAGGAACAAAAACAAAGTTTATTGGAAAAGCTCAGCAGGTCTGGCAGCATCTGTGAAGAAAAAAACAGAGTTAACGTTTCAGTTCCGATAACCTAAGTTATTCAGAGCCTTTAACATTGTCAAACATTTCAAGCCTTTTCATAGGAGACAAAAGTGACAATGAAGATCTGTTATGACAAATGATTAAAGGCTTGGTACCTGGGGACAGAGATATGAAGATTTGTGGAGGGAATCCCAGAGTTTAGGGCAGAGGTTGTTGAGATACAGCTACCGATGGTGGAGTAAAGAATATGTGGACTCCACAAGATGCTAGAATCACAGAGGTATATGAATTAGGAGGAGGCTAGTTAGCCATTCAAACCTGTTCCAACATTCTGTACCGTCATTGACATGATTATGGTCTCAGCCCCACTTTGTTACCAACCCCTGACTTCACCAACCTTGTTAATCAAGAATCTATCTAACTCAGCCTTAAAAGTATTCAATGAGACTGTTTTAACTCTCTGGGGAAGAGTGTTCCACAGACTTGTGAGGAACGCAGAGAACTGAGGCTTATTAGATTTGCGATTACAGAGAAATGAAGGGGAGAGGAAATAGAGGGATTTGTACATAATTTTCTGTCAGACCTCAGTGAAAGTTAGGATATGGCTGCACAATTTTGGACAGGCTGAAAGGTAGAGCATGGGAAACTGACCAGGAGAGAATTGGATAATTTGAGTCTGGGGTCAATGAAAACCCAGTTGAGATTTTAAGCAGCAGGTGAACTGCAGCAACAGGTTATGTGAGGGAATGTGAGGTTACAGAGTCTGATATAACTGAAGAGTGCTGAGGGATAATATGTACCACTCACACCCTTAAGTGACTGGTTTGGCTGAATAGCCTATCTAAGGATGAGAAATTTCTTCACTTGGAGGGTGGTGAACTTGTGGAATTCTCTACCATGTAAGGCTGTGAAGACCCTAATATGTTTAAGAAAGTAATAGACTTCCAGATGTCAAGGGATATGGTTAGAAAGAATGGGAGTATGGTGTTGACATAGAGTATCAGCCATGATTGTGTTGAATGGCAGCGCAACTGGATGGACCAAATGGTCTGGAGCTCCTCCTATTTTTTTTCTCTGAGGTTTACATAGCAGCCAGAAAAATTGGAGGGAATGTAGTCTGAAAGTTAGGATGTTTCCTCTAAATTCCCCAATTTTGAATTGAAATTATTTTAAATGGGCGCCCCATTTAAGAGGTTTGAGAGTCTTTGGATTTCCCTTCTTCAAAGGCAGTGGTTGCAGCAGCTTTAAATATTTTTAATGTCAAGTTAGATTCTTCATTCCTAAGCAGGTGAAAGATTATCAGGAATGTAAAGTTGAGGTTAAAATCAGATTAGTCATGATCTTATTGAATGGGGAAGCAGGCTTGAAGGGCTGTTCCTTGTACATGCCTTTGAATTGTTGGTGACCATTATACACATGGCTTCTAATCTTGCTCTTCCCCACGAGTAGAAACACACCTTTTGTGTCTTTTTGATCAACTACTGTAAATGTTTAAAGGCCTTTACTAGCTGATGGATATACACTGTGGTCTATACGTTACTATATTGAGTTGAGGCATATATTCAGCAGCTAAATGGTGTAGTATTTGACAGCTTGAGATTTTCTGATTGCCTGCACTGGATTTGCATTGGTTGTACGGAATGTCTGGCTGACAGACTGAACATCTGACCCTGAATTCCAGGGTCGAGCTCATTCTCTGGTTGCTCAGTTAAACAGCCAGCGTGTACTCTGACCATAACTCTCCCTTTCCCAGGTTAACTGCAGACAAACAGACTCCTGACTGGTTTAACTGTTGCATCAGCCAATTTCCATACCACAATCCTCATAATAGAAGGGCCATCTTTATATCAGGAAATGCGGTAAAGGTGGTAAACTCTATGCTAGCTGTCAGAAGCATAGGATTTCTTACAGCTCAGAAGGAGACTATTTGGCCCGTTGTATCCATGCTGGCTCTTTGCACTGTTAACTTGGGTGCTTCTCTGTAAATCTTTCTCTCCAGATGCCTTTTCCATTTCCTTTTTGAATTTCACAATTAGATGTGTCCCATCACACACTTGGCCAGTGCACTCCCAATCTTAACCTCGTGAGAACCCTAATTAAACAGGCAACAATGCACTGCAGGAACACAGAACTACGCCAAAAAGAAGAAGAATGCCTCTTCCAAGTATTCAAAGACAATGGATCCTCGAAAAACTGGATCAGAAGATACCTATTACATGAACAACACCAGGAAGTTACTGCACGTCCCGACACACTCATCATGCTATCTTACATCGAGAACACATCTGAACTAACCACAAGGCTCCTACGACCACTGGGCATCAGAATAGCACACAAACTCACATCAACCCTACACCAATTGCTAACCCGAGCCAAAGACTCGCAACCCACAATGGACAGGACCAATGTCATATACAAGATTCCCTGCAAAGACTGCGACAAACATTATATTAGACAGAAAGGAAGGAAATTAGCCACAAGAGTACACTGGCAACAAAAAGACACGACCGATACTCACTCATCTCCATCCACATGGATAAGGAAAACCACCAGTTCATTTGGGACAACACCAGGATCTTGGGACAGACAAAGTGGACACAAGCATGGGAATTCCTAGAAGCCTGGTTCTCCACTAAGAAAGCCATCAATAAACACAGAGCTAGACCCAATATACACTCCATCGCGAAGGAAAACTGGAAGTGAGGTAACCCAGCTCAACAGACCCCAGCGTTTAAATACCAGGTGGGAAAACACAACAGTGCTTCATCGGAAGCTGCACTGATGATGTTACCCAGCAGGGTAGTGAAACATCTGCGGAACAACCAACCACAACCCGAGCTACAAATCTACTCAAGAACCTTACTGCATAGAATCAGGCATGTTTACACATCAAGTGACATGGATTCAAGGAATTCAGTAACCTCAGGCACTTTAAGATGATCAGTGTTTCCATTATGGTTCACATGGGGTTCTGGATTGCAATACTATTGGTTCAATACTGAACTTCCCTCCGTGTTGCTCATTGTCTGAATGGCCAGTTTCTTCCTGTCATTTCTCACGGTCAAAACTGTTTTGCTGAGGTATTTGGGTTCATGAAATTTTTAGCTCCTTTAGATCCTGAAGGTACTGTCAGTCCAACTCTGTCCCACGGGTGGCAACATCGTGATGCCCTGTAAAAGTGACCAAGTCTCATGCACAAAGTCGATTATTGTCAGCAAATGTTTTAACCATGTTGGGCATGGCCGCTTCAACCTCCCTGGCCAAACATGATAGCTGAATGGTGATCAGGAGAATCAATCCTGCTTCTTTACACATTTTCCTTTCCCAAGATTGATTCCAACCAGAATAAATATGGAGTGCTGTAGAAGTACTCATGTCTAGCAAATTGTATGGACTCTGGATCTACCTGTGCTCTATAAACCATGTGTAGGTACGGCTGCCTTGGACTTGCTGAACTGAGGGTGGGGCTGCCTCAGAGTCACTTGTTCACCGGTGTTATTCCTATTCCCAGACCCTTTCCAACCACAGCAGCGGTTGCACTGTCATGAGAACAATGTTTTTTAGTCAAACTCAGTCAATAAGTTTCACTTCAGTGCACACTTCACTCTGTAGTGTTTAGTTTCTTTGTTCACTTTGGAGGCTTGTTCAGTTTGATCATAGCAATGAACTTGTTTTAGTTGTTTTTTCATCATTATCTTTAGGTGTGTATTTTGTAATGGCCTAAAGCTCAGTTGTGGCCCAAGATGTTGTAAAATTCAGATATCACTGTATGCAGAATAGCAACCAGATGTGAACCGTTAGTAACAGTGATGATCAGCTGGGTGGGAGGTTTCAGGGCTGGTCATTAACTTTAGTAAGTGGCATGCTTGTGTTGTCAATAAAGCCTCCAGTGTTTGCACGCAGCTCCTACTTGGTGCAATGGCAAGGTCTCTGTCCCTTGTCCCCCTGCAGTGTGCTTTATGGTTTGAATTATTCCAATGTGATTGCTGGTAGCTGGGTAATTGAATCGCCAGGAAATGATTTTTCAGTGTCCATTCTCTCACATGTACTCTCTCTCCCTGTTCTCCATTCAGCCATTGTGAATTTCTGCGCAAACAACTACCTGGGCCTCTCAAGTGACCCCGCAGTGATACAGTCAGGAATCGACGCTCTGAATCAATATGGAGCGGGACTCAGCTCCATCCGTTTCATTTGTGGCACCCAGGTCAGTTCATCAGGGTTTCTAGGACCAGACAAAGGCTTTTAGGCCCCACTGCTTTCTTCTGATTTCATAATTGGCCTGGCCCAATTTTTCCCCTTAAGAGAGAGTTGGGAACTGGTTCCTGGCTGCTAAATCAGATTTTGGCATCAAGTGTAAGCACAAAGACATGAAACACAGGAGCAGGAGTAGTCCATTTGGCCCATTCAGCATGTTCTGTCATTCAGTAAGGTCTGTGCTGATCTCTTTGTGGCTTTAACTTCGCTTTACTGTCTGATCCCCTGTCGCCCATTACTTCCTTGTACGTCAAAGGTCTAACGCAGTCTTGAATATGTTCAAGACTCCAGCCCCCGTTGTTTACTGAGGATGAGAATTCCAAACGCTAATGACGCTCTGAGAAGGAAAACCTCCTCATTTTAGAACTGTGCACCACAATTTCTGGATACTCCTGTGAGAGGAAGCATCCCCCGCCCCTAGCATGCACGCTGTTGTAACTTCCTAAGAATGTACATGTTTTAATAAAATCACCCCTCTTTTCTCTAAACCCAATCTGCATAATCTTGTAAAAACCAAAAGAACTGCGGATGCTGTAAATCAGGAACAAAACCAAAGTTGCTGGAAAAGCTCAGCAGGTTCTGAGGAAGGGTCACCGTACCCAAAACGTTAACTTAGTTTTTTCCTTCACACATGCTGCCAGACCTGCTAAGCTTTTCTGGCAACTATTTTTTGTTCCTGCTTAACCTTGTATTAAGAAGCAGCCTAGTGAACCTGTTCTGAACTGCTCCCAATGCATAGTCATGAGCTACATGTTTCTTGTGTTCCATCAAACCACCTTGCTGTACTAGTCCCCTGTTCTCACCTTCCCACTTTTTTTACAAATGTCACTAAATTCTCTCACTGCTGCTGGGAAGCACTGATTGATGTGACTTTGAAACACAGCATAACTTGGCAACAATTCTGCCATAAATGGAAAGGCTCGCCGCTCACTGATTGGGAAAATATTTTGTGTTTTCCTGGAAGGATTAGTTCGATTGAGTGACAGCAATGGTCAAGTGTTACTGATCTAACCCCACTCACTCTTTTTTTCCTAGAATCTGCACAAGAGCCTAGAGGCCAAGATTGCAAAGTTCCACCAGAGAGAGGATGCCATTCTTTATGCCAGCTGTTTCGATGCCAATGCTGGGATTTTTGAGGTGGGTTATACAAGTACCTCACGTCTTTACCCATAAACTAAGTGATACAGAATTCCTATGGTTCCATAGCCCAGAACTGTCACGAGTTTGCTAGGAGTGAGATTGATGGTCACTATGTGCGACAGATTATTGATTTACATCAGCACTGGATTTTCTTCCAGATGTGGAATTTACATGTCACACTTTTGAGCTAGAATGAGGGAGATCTGATGGATCTAGGACCTTAGGAAATAGGAACAAGAGTAGGCCATTTGGCTCCTCAGGCCTGCTCTGCAATTCAACTAGATCATGGCTGCTGTTTTACCTCCGTGCCACTTTTCTGCATTATCTTGTACGCCTTGATGTCATTAATGTCTAGAAATCTATGGAACTGTGTTTGAACTTACTCACCAACTTAAGTTGCACGGTTAGCCAATCTACATGTACAGAATATCGTTGACCCATTTTCCTCCCATCTTGGCATCTTTGAAAGTGCATCCTGCAGTCTTGCTGATGTCATCTGGCCCATTATTGAGGCCAAGTGTCAAACAGACTCTTGCAGTCACAAATCTTGAGTCTGGAGCAAAGACTCAAGTGTTTTTATTGAAATCTGATATTGCACAATAAACCTCCTCTGCTTAGTGATTCTGATCATGCATCCACTTGGAAGCTTGTCTGGGGTTGGGTAATCATCCAAAAGAAAGCATCATAATGACAGGCATTTCTCAGCTTCATATTACTCCATACTTTAACATTGAGAGTCAGAGGCAGCATCAATGGTTGGAATATTTCCTGACTTTTTTCATTCTCATTCAATACTATAGAGTCGAAAAATAACCAAAAGACCATAAGATATTGGAGCAGAAGTAGGTCTTTCGGCCTATTGAGTCTGCTCCACCATTCAGTGAGATCATGGCTGATTAGATAATCCTCAACTCCATTTTCTGGCCTTTTCCCCATAACCCTTGATTCCCTTCCTGATTAAAAATCTGTTTATCTCAGCCTTGAATATACTTAATGACCCAGCCTGAATAGCCCTCTGTGATAAAGAATTCCACAGATTCACAACCCTCTGAGAGAAGAAATTCCTCCTTATCACTGTCTTAAATATGCAGCCCTTGTTTTGTGTTTATATCCTCTGGTCCTAGACTCTTGTGTAAGGGAAACAACCTCTCTGCATCTGTCAATTTCCCTAAGAATTTCGTATGGCTCTTCATTAAAGATGCCATTCTTTCTTCTGTATGCCAATGAGTACAGCCCCTATCTATTCAATCTTTCCTAAAGACAGTTCCTCCAAACCTGGTGTTGGCCTAGTGAAACTTCTATCAGGGTTTCAAATGGAACAGCAGGTGATTTGGAGTTCTTTGGCACTGAGCTGTGATCTCCAGTGCATTGCCTGGCAGTGGGTTGAAGCAGATTCACTTAGTTTTAACAGGGGAATTGGATTAAATGTTTTTGAAGGGATGTTGCACAGGTCTGTGGGGAAAATGTGCCCTCATTTTTCATGGCTCCTAGTGGTTCTTCCTTAACCAGTATTCATGCCACACACGTTATCTGAACTTTCTTTAATCTCTGAACTCCTGCTACATCACAACAGGTTGATTGACAGCTTGGTGAGATAATGCAAACAAGGAACAAGAGCCTTTCAAGTCTGTTTTGCCATTCAATAAGATCATGGCTGACTTGATTTTAACCTCGACTGTCCATTCCTGCATAACCTTGATAATCTTTCATCCCCTTGATAATCAAGAATCTATCTACCTCTGCCTTATAAATAATTAAAGACTCTGTAACCACTGCCTTTTGTGGAAAGAAATGCCAAGGAGAGACAACCCTTTGAGAGAAGAACAGTTTCTTTATCTCTGTCTTAAATGGGCAACCCCTTATTTTTAAACTATGACCCCCTAGTTCTGGATTCTGTCAAGAGAAAACACAGCACGGCATGGTAGCTCAGTGATTAGCACTGCTGCCTGACAGTGCCAGGGTTCGATTCCAGCTCAGGTGACTGTGCAAACTCAACGCAGACATTCTCCCTGTGTCTGCATGGGTTTCCTCTGGGTGCTCTGGTTTCCTTCCACAGTCCAAAGATGTGCAGGTTAGTTGGATTGCCCACGGGAAATTGTCCAAAGGGACGTGTAGGTTTGGGGATTAGCCATAGGGAATGCAGGGTTACAGGGATAGGAGGATGTGGTTGGGGGGGGGGGGGGGGGGGGGGGGGGGGCAGTGGCGGCAGGAAGGGCTGGGTGGGATGCTCTTTGGGGAGTTGGTGTGGACTTGATGGGCCAACGCATGAATGCATGCTTCCAACGCATGAACATCCTTCTGTAAGGACAGTTGCTGGTATTGTACTGATGCAGTCTTGCCAATGCCCTGTATAACTGAAGCATTATCTCCCTATTCTTGCATTCAATTTCCCTTGCAATAAAACAAAACATCAGCTTTCCTGATTATTTGCTGTACCTGCATACTGATCGTAGAATGGTTACAGCACTGCCTGGAAGGTAGTGTAATCTTTTCCCCAGTATAATGTCCTGTCATTGGTAAGATGTTAAATCTCAGTGATCGAAGTTGGGGAGGACAACCCCCATGGCTCGGTCAAGGGATTTCCCACTGACCAGTGGTGGGAAGCAGGTGTGAGCAGTCAGATTTGCACCCCCCTACTTCGTGGCATCGTGTATCAGGGCTATGTGAAGCTTCCTAAACCTGATATTAACGTTCTTGCAGAATGTTTGGAGTGACAAGTCTAGCCAGGCTGATTAATCTCACATCCATCCGTGGCTTTTTTCAGGCCCTGTTAACCCCTGAAGATGCCATTCTCTCAGATGAGCTCAACCACGCATCGATTATCGATGGAGTCCGACTTTGCAAGGCCAACAAATACCGATACAAACACCTGGACCTCAGTGACTTGGAGGCAAAGTTGAAGGAAGCCCAGGTATATTTGACTACTCTTGTTTCAATTCCTTCACATTGGCTCATTATAATAGTTAAAATGCTTGCCTAACCAGGGACAGATGACGAGTTGGGTGTGTTTAATTTCTGTCTCACTGTGACATCCTTTCCCTTCAACCTTTAATTGACAGCCTGTAGTCATTGGCCTGGATTTTTACGTTGGCCAGATGGTAGTTATTCTAGCACAGATGAGTGTTGTGTATGGAGATCCTGTGAAATTGAATTTTCACTGGGCACTCCTCTATGCTTAAAACCCTCCAAAAGTGTCCAATAATATCGGAGATTTCAAATCACTCTGATGGAATGAATTAATATAGTACACACATAGTCTAACTCCTGAATAACTAATAAATTGATCCCATACTTAACTTTTACTGTGGTGAATTGATGCGTTCTGCGATGCACGGTCCAAAGGGAGGGGATTAGTAATAATTTTCAGAAGGATAAATACTTGAAAGCTGTTTTGCAGGCAAAGGGCAAAGAGCAAAGGGAATGGCACTAATTGGATAGCTCTTTCAAGGAGCCAGCACGGACTCAATAGGATAAACGGCCTTACTGTATTATACGATATCACAATAACCACTCTCTGCTGTTTAGATTTATTGTTTGTTTTCTTCCTAACTTCAATGCAGTAATATTTTGTTAAAATGGGATGGTGTGTCCCAGTTCTTCATCTTATTCCATTAGAAAAGTAATGTTTTTGTGGTTCATTTTCTATGCAGTACAGCTGTTTTCTGTGTAGTCAAAACTTGCTTCAGTGTGAGCTCAGAGTGTAAGTAATGTTTTTCAGTGGGGGTTTTGGCAGGTGAGGGTGGTTGAAGGGAAGAAATAGGGGTGGGGTGTAGAGGTGTGGGAGTGTCAGTATTAATCAGTTAGCCAGAACGTGCTGTCAATACTGTGGTATTCTCTTACAGAAACACCGAATGCGTCTAATTGTTTCGGATGGCGTTTTCTCCATGGATGGTGATGTGGCACCACTGAAAGAGATTTGTGACCTTTCAGATAAATACAACGCTCTAGTCTTCATTGATGAATGTCACGCCACTGGGTTTTTAGGACCCAATGGACGGTAGGGAGCCATGGCCATGCACACCTTGTAGGATTTGTGAGGGTTTGGGTGGGGGAAATAAAGGTTTGCTGCCTATGCAGTTAAGTATGGTACATTTCAATTGCAGCCTGACTTCTGTTTTTCGCCAACAATGTGAAATGTTATTTACCCCACAACCCTGATCCTTCCCTGCTCTATCGATGGCCAAATGTCAAATGTTGCCAAATGCCATGTGCTTCTCTATTGCTGGCACAGTGTGGCTTACCTTTTGTCATGGGTTGCAGCAGTAGGTGCTGCTGTGAGGTGAAGGCTCTAGATCATTGTCAGGGCAGAGCAGAGGGAACTCCATATTGTCTCACCTAGAATATTGTGCGCAGTTTTGGTCTCCTTTTCTGAGGAAGGATGCTCTTGTTCTCGAAGGAGTGTAGCTAAAGTTTACCAGGCTGATTCCGGGGATGGCAGGAATAATATATGAGGAGAGATTGACTAGGTTAGGATTATTTTCGCTGGAGTTTAGACGAATGAGGGGGGGATCTCATAGAGACTTAAAATTCTAACTGGACTCAACAGGGTAGATGCAGGGAGGATGTTCCTGATGGTGGGTGTGTTCAGAATCAGGGGTCACAGTATGAGGATTCGGGGTAGACATTTAAGACAGAGTTGAGAAGACATTTCTTCACCCAAAGAGTGGTGAGCCTGTGGAATTCATTATCACAGGAAGTAGTTGATGGTAAAACATTGAATGTATTCAAGAGGTGACAAGATATAGCACTTGGGGCGAATGAGGTTGAAGATTATGGGGAGAAAACAGGATTAGTCTGTTGAGTTGGACGATCCGCCATGATCATGATGAATGGCAGAGCAGGTTCAATGGGCTGAATGGCTTCCTCCTGCTCTTGTCTTCTATATATGCATCAAATCTGACTTTCAAACAGAATCCCTCTCATTATCTGTGATGTCTGTCCTGTCCTGAAGAACAGAAGTTCTGACAAAGACAATTCCTTCCCTTCCCTCCTCAGCGCTGCCCCAAATTTAAAACAGTACAGATCAGAATTTGAAATACTTCACCAAAAATAGAATGATAACTGTTAAATTGCAGATCTTTTTTTCTTCTCTCTCTTTCTGTCTCTTGTACAGGGGCACTGATGAGTTGCTGGGAGTGATGGACCGGGTTCATATTGTAAACTCCACCCTTGGAAAGGCACTTGGTGGAGCAGCAGGTGAGTGCACACAGAGCCCTAGGGGTGGAGGGCTTGCAAAGCATGTTAAAGCTGAGCTAACTTTGGGTTTGTCAACTCCCTGAAGTGCTCCATATGGTAACGTTCTGGCCTTCTGCTCATCTTCCTTTAGTCTCCTCTCTGCCACTGCTTAATGGTTTGAATTCTGGGTCCATTTTAGCCCTGACTACAAGTTGACTACTTGATCTTTGCTGTTTTGCTTTGTATTCCTGCTATTTTATTGTATTTTTTTTATGGGTGTTCCCTGTGATTGTTGCTCAACCATTTTAAAGAGCAGTTAAGAGTCAACCACATTGCTATGTATCTTGACTCATGTAGGCCAGATGAGGTATGGACTACAGATTTCCTTTCCTGAAGGACATTAGTGAACCAGATATAATTTCATGCAAGCTTTTAATGTCAGAGTTGGTAATGAATACAACCCCCCCTTTCCCCCGACCTTTGTTTCCTTCAGTGAATGCAGAGTCTTTTGGTCTTGGTTTCTCCAGGCATCATAGCTATTCTTCTCCACCATAAAACTTTGCTGTGGGAAAAGTGAGAGGGTAGCAGTAGGGTGCTCCTCAGAAAAAGTGTATCCAAGCAAGCTGCCTGTTTTGCCCCAGAATAGGGAACTAAACTGCGTGACCTATTTACTGCAACTGACCAGATCCCATCATGTGCCTATCCTAGCAGCTGGCCAATCAGTAGACTCATCTTGCTAGTCAATCCATGTACAACATGCTATGCAGTCCCAAATCCAGAACTCACTAGAACCTCTCAAAATATTACTTGTGAAAAATTGTGAAATTTTTACCTAAAAAATTTTTACTCTTCCAATATATATGATGCATTTAAACAGGTTGCAACTATTCCCTCACTAGCACTGACCCCTGCTGAGCCTTTGATGGTTTGAGTGGGTTTTTCAGTGACAGTCTGGTTTCTACTTGAAATGTCACACACCTGACTGAAATACTTTTTGCCTTTTTTTTTCTTTTCTTTGTGATCATTGCCTTTTTCTGCCCTGCATTGGATTCTCCACACCTGTTTGGAACCTCCTCCTCCATTGAGCATCTTTTCTCCGTCATTCACCACCGCTAACCCAAGTACCATATCACAATTGTCACACAGGTATCTTCACTGCTTTCCTTGCTCTGCTTTTGCACAGAATGACTCCTCATCCTCTGTGATCTCATTTCAGCCCTGCCCATTCTCCCTTCCTCTGAGTTCACTGGCCTTTTATCCTCCCTAAATCTCTCCTTATGCACAAACTCCCCAGCTCATAGTTGTACATTACCCATGATCTTGCCATTTCACCTGGCCTTGCCGCTTTTGTTATGTCAAGTCTTTTCTAGACTGCAAATCGCCTTCTTTAAACTCCTCTCCCTTGTCTCCTACACCCGTGCCTCCCAAAGGCACAAGGAGCTCAAGGACCTGCTCCGTGCCTTTCTTAACTTGCCAGTGGCCTTTGATATCGTAGTATCTTCCTGCAACATCTTCCAGTTGGGTGCACCTGCATTCAAGGAGTTCTGTTCTTGCCTGTCTAGTTAACAGATCATAGAATGGCTTCTCTTCCTGCTTATGTACCTTGGCCTTTGGAGTCTCCTTGGGTTCCATCCTTAATTATCTGTCCCCTTAGGTATGTCTGTACTATTCACTTCAATTGTTGCAGTGAGTTCCACTTTCTACTCTCACTTCGTTTGAAGAAGTTTTGTCTGAATTCCCTATTGGATTTCTTGGTGACTGTCTTAAAGTAATGACTTCTCTTGTGGGGAAGGCCTTAATTATGAAACATTCTCTTCATAACCCCCTTGATAAAATTATTCTTAATATTAAAGATCTGTGTCAGGTTACCCCTGGCCCATTTTTCTTAAAGATGAAAGGGACCCAGCTTGACAATTCTTCCCTAACAGCTATACCCAACATCCTTGTATTATCCTCGTAAAGCTACTCTGCACCTTCTCTTCTACCTCTCAATCTTTTTTAAATAATGTAGTGACCAGAGCTGCTACAGTTCTCTAAATCTGTTCTAACCTCCCTTCGATACAGGTTTAGTGAAGCTTGCTGGCTTGTCAGTTCTCTGGAAATAAAGCTGAGAGCTTGGCATGTTTATTCGACTGGCCTTTTGTTTTGTGAACCTCTGGCACAACTTTTAAGAATTGACATATTTGGCCTCTGAGGATGCTATTTTCTTCCTCTTCACCCAGAACTCCCTGTCCATTCTTCCTACTAGAACATACTGCTTCGCGTTTACATCTGTTGAACCACCAACTTAAGCTGTCTGTCAAGCAACTGTCTGAGGATGAGCCAGACTGTTCAGTCTTGCTGTCCTGTTTGATTCTGCAACTAACATCTAACCATGTATCTACAGTGTCATGGGGACTGCCTATTTTCAGCTCCATTATGTTCCCTGACTCTTCCCTGCCACAGTTGATTTACTGCTGAAGCATTCCTCCATTACTTTTGGATCACGCAATTCCAACATACTTGTGGTCACTCTACCATTTATGAGCTTCCATAAACTTTTGGGGTCATCATGTCCTAAGTTATGCAAATCTTATTCCCCTGTGCTCAGTAGTCATCACTAGCTTCCACTAAACAGCACCTCAATTTTAAAAATTCTGATACTTGTTTCCAAAATCTATCTGTCCCTTTCTCAGCGATCTCTCCAGGATCCCTGTGCTCCTCCAATTCTGGTCTCTTGAATGTTTTCAGTTTTAATTGCAGTTCATTAGTAGTTCTGTCTTCAGTTGAATTCCCTTCTTAAATACTCTGCCTTTTCTTTGATTTGATTGATCTGATGATTGCACAAAGTTCGATAAAATTCACAACTCCTTAGATACTGAAGTAGTGAACAGTACACAGGATATAACCACACCTTTGGCAGCTCCTTCCAAACCTGCAACCTCTGCCAGCTGGAAGGACAATAATAATAGATACATGGGAGCACCATCTGCAAGATCCCCTGCAAGCTGTTCACCATTCTGTCTTGGAACTCTATCACCATTACTTCAGTGTTGCTGAGTCAAAATCTTGGAACTCCCTCCCTAACAGCATTATAGCTAATCACACCGATTGACTGCAGCAGTTTAAGAAGTCAGTGTAATATCCGTTCCTTAGGACATTAGGAATAGACAAGGTATATTGGCTTTATCAATGATGCTCCAATCTTGTGAAAGAGTATGAAACGGTTATGAATGGATTTTAAGCAGATACTTCTGCTGATGGGAGATCAGGACCAGAAATAATAAAATAATCATTGATAATTCCTATAGGAAATCCAGGAGAAACCTTTTTACTTGGGATGTAGTGTAGTGCGAATGACACTAGACTAGTAATCCGGAATGCTAATGCTTTGGAGCTCTGGGTTCAAATCACATACTGGATAGAATTTAAATTGATTAATTACTTGAATTTAATTAAGTTCTCTTTGATGGAAAGCCATTCTCAATAATAGTAACCATGAACCAACCATCATTTTTTTTTTGTAAAAAACCATCTGGTTCAGTAATGCCCTTTAGGGAAGGAAATCTCTTTACCTGATCTGGCTTGAATGTGACTCCAGATTCTCAGCAATGTGGTTGACTCTTAACTGCCTTCTAAAATGGCCTAGCAAACCATTCATTTTGAAGGTAAATAGGGATGGGCAACAATTTGCTGGCCTTGCCGATGACACCCATATCCCATGAAAGAAGAATAAAAATTCAGAATGTGTTTAGAGTGAGGAACTTGCTACTACATTCACCAGAGGGCACAGATTTAAGATTAATTGGCAAAAGTACCAGAAGGATGACGAAGTTCATTTTTATTTCATTAAGTTGTTTAATCTAGAATGCAATATCTCTAGGGGTGGGAGTAGCTATTGAAAAGGATGGAATAAATGCCTCAAAACAAACACCAAGTATAGAAACCATATGAAGAGCTGAGGAGTGAAACTAATTGGATAATACTTTCAAAGAGTTGGCTCTGTCTTAATTGATCAAATGGCCACCACTTTTGCTGTAACATTCTCTGATGTTATTGAAACTTACACGTGTCTTCTCTTCAAGGCGGATATACTGCAGGACCAAAGGCTCTGGTTGACCTCTTGCGTCAGCGCTCCAGACCCTATCTCTTCTCCAACACTCTTCCCCCTCCTGTGGTTGGCTGTGCCTCCAAAGCCCTCGACCTCCTGATGGACAGTAACGTGATCGCCCAGACCATGGCCTCAAAAACCAAACGGTACGTTATCAATGAGTCTCTTCTGTCACCCTCATTTCCACATGCCGTGTTGAACAGAACAAACTTTATTAAAGTGACAGATTTTTGGAAAAAATACAAGAACCAAGGAACAGGAGGAGGTCATTTAACCCCCAAACCTGATCCACAATTCAGTCAGGTCATAGTTTTTCTAGTTATAGCCTCAACTCTCTTTACTTGCCTGTCCCCCATGACCCTCGACTTCCCTGTAGTTCAACAGAATTGTCTAACTGGACCCTTAGACCATAACACACAAAAACAGGAGTAGGCCATTTATCCCTCGAGCTTGCTTCGCCATTTAATAGGATTGTGGCTGATCTGACATTCCTCACACCCACCTTCCTGTGTTTTGCCCGTAACCATTGATTCCCTGACTGATCTATCTGTCTAATTTAGCCTTAAATATACGCTGCCCCCATAGCTCTCAGTGGCACAGAGTTCCAGAGATGCTCAACCCTCAGAGGAAATTCCTTCCCATCTCAGTCTTAAATTTGCATCCCTTTATTCTCAGAAATTGCCCCTGGCCCTGGACTCTCCCATGACGAGAAACATCTCCTCAGCATCTACTAGGCCAAGCCCTCTAAGAATTCTTTATATTTCAATGAGATTGAAACTCTCATTCTTCTAAACTCCAATGAGTAGAGTCTGATTAATCAGACCAATCTGATCACCCTTTGCTCATAAGATAATCACTTCATTCCAGGGAATGTTTTCTGAGCTGCCTCTCATTAAATAATATCTTGCTTAAATAAGGGGACCAAAACTGCTCTCTGTACTCCAGATGTGGTCTCACCAGCACCTTGTACAGACTTCCCTACTCTTATACTCCAACCCACTTGAAATAAGGGCCAGCATTCCATTAGCCTTCCTGATTACTTGTGTGCTAGCTTTGTGTTACGTGCAGAAGAACCACCAACTCCCTTTGTGTTGCAGTTTTCTGCAGTTTTTCTCTGAAATGAACAACTTCCCATTTTCCTCACATGTATTCCACTGGCCAACTTTGAATATAATCCATGATCCACAGATCTTTGGGGAAGAGAGAAAGGCGAGGCAGTGATGTGGTAGTAATGTTAGTGGACTAGGAATCCAGAACCCCATCTTCATGTGCTGGGGACATGGGTTGTAATCCCACCATAGCAGACGTTGAATAAAAAGCTAGTTCAATGGCATGTAAACACTGTAGGGTGTCATAAAAACCCATCTGGTTCATGAATGCCATTTTTTTGTTTTAGGGAAGGAAATCTGCCATCCTTAGCTGGTATGATTTACATATGATTCCAGATGCACACTAAATGGTTGCCTCTTAACTGCTGTCTGGGCAATAAGTGCTGACCTAGCCAATGACATCCACATCTTGTGAGCAAATATTAAAAAAAAAATTAGAAATTCTCGATCCACTAGAAGAAGAAATTCCTCCTCATCCCTTTTTAAATGAGAGACCTTTGTTCTAAATCTCTAACCCCTGGATCTAGGTACCCTACAAATAGAAAGTCCTCTCAGAATCCACCCTTACTAGCTTCCTCAATACCTTCAATGTTTCAATGAGATTAACAGTCAATCTTCTAAACTCCAAAAAGCTTAGGACCTACCTGCTAAAATATTTCTCATCCTTTCATCTTGAATCATTCGGGTGAATCTGAACTGCTTGCAATGTAAGCATATAACTCCATAAGTAAGGAGACCAAAACTGCACAGTTCTCAAGTTGTAGCCTTGTCAACACCCTGTACAATTGTAGCAAAATTTCCCAACCCTTGCAATAAAGGCCAGAATTCCATTTACCTTCCTAATTGCCTGCATACTGACAATTGGTGTTGTGTATACGTGAACACGCAGATCATCATGTATCACAGCATTCTGTAATCTCTGTGTTTAAAGAAATTGAAATTTTGCTTTCCTATTTTTCCTGCCAAAGTGGCCAACCTCACATTTCTCATAGTGTACTTACATCTGGAAATTTTTTTTCCCATTCACTCAATTTACGTATTCCTCTATATTCTCCTCACAACTTTCTTTTCTAGCCATCTCTGTAACATCAACAAATTTGGCCCTTCATCCAAGTCATCAATATAGATTGTCAGTAATTCGAGGTCCCAGAACTAATTCCTTTGCTATATCATTCAGGTTTGTCAACCTGAAAATGACTTGTTTTTCAATACTCCATTCCATCAGTTAGTTAATCCTCTGTCCATGCTGATATATCACTCCCAAAACCATGGGTTCTTACCATACACATAACCTTATATTGCCATCTTCTGAAATGCACACTGGAAGTCCAAATATTACTAAATCCACGGTTCCTCTCTTATCCACCCTGCCTGTCACATCCTCAAAAAATTCTAAAGTAATGTTTTCCTTCTATAAAACCTTCAACACTATGTAATTGTATTTTGAGTTTCTAAATGTCTTGCTATTTCTTCCTGAAAAATGGCTTCCACAATTTTCCCAATGACTATCTGGCCACTTGTATCCTAATTTTTTTTTCAAGAATCTATGGAATTTTGAAAAATTATCTCCTGTGCCACTTGTTGGAGATTTACTTGCTTCGTAGCTGTTAATATTTTTGGCCCAAAGCTAAGGATTTGATAAGGGAGATGGAGAGAAACTATTTCCTCTGGTGGGGACAAAACCTTGAAATTAGAGGCAACATTTTTCACACTCCACTGTTGATGTAGGCAAGGGGGAGGGGCATTTGCTGGTGTCAATTGAAGTTAGACAAAAGTATTAAAAATTACACAGTTGGTATGGGTAAATTGTGTTTGATCTGTATCTTAACACTATCTGCTTAAATGGTGGCTGGAAAAGGCCCAAGGAGCTGAATGGCTTCCTGATCCCATGTTCCCAGTGAATGTATCTCTAAAGATGAATAACCACGGAGAATTTGAGCCTTATTTGCCTTGCATTGTAAAATGGTTTTTGCTGGTTTGATTTTTTTTTCTTCTTGTGCAATCTTTAACATTGTCCTCTTCAACCTGGACAGTCAGTATTATGAATTCTCAACGAATTGGTGTGCAACCAGCTCCACGCATCTATCCAGATGTACCCTTGGATCAGTCAATGATTGTAGTCAGATGTCAGGGTTTCGACTATGTATCCTGTTTGAGCTTCAGCTCCACATTTTAGTCATCCTTTCACAATACTGCACCATTTCACCAAGTTCACCTTAGCACGGCCCATCCCAAGCCTGCTTTGCTCAGTCACTTACCCGGTTTCTTGCCGCCTCTGGAAGGGTTGGGTGGGGTTGGCACTACTCCAACATTCTCCTTGTTAGCTGCCCCTCTGCCAACCTCCAACTTGCCACAAAACTCCTGCTGCAAAGGCACTTTACTCTTCTTGCTTAGGGTCCTGGACTGCATTGGCTAACAACCAACCATTCCACACTGTCACTGCATTGAATCCAAGATGCATCTTTGTCTATAAATCTTACTCCTCCTTTCTGTGCTGTCTCCTCCATCACTGCTCACTACTCCTCACCCTCAATCAGTCTGTTTCTTAACACTCTGACATTCTTTCCCTGGCTTGTCCTTCAACTTTGAAGTGCTGACCTTGAATTCCACTTTATTAAGATGCTTTTTAAACCTTCCTCCTTGACCAAGCCTTTGGGCACCTGATGGAATATTTCCATGTGTCAGGTTTAGTTCAGCGTTTGTGGAGAATGTTTTGCCATGTTAAATGGGCTATATATGAATGTAAGTTGGAGTTGGATTGTCTTTCAGATATTGATCACTTGTTGAACGGTTTCCAAACTGATTTGAGTTGACTCCAGTTGGCTGTTCTCCACAGGTTCCGCAGTCAGATGACGGCTGCAGGATTCACCATTGGTGGAATGGACCATCCTATTTGCCCAGTGATGCTTGGAGATGCACGGCTGGCATCATCCATGGCAGAGGACATGCTGAAAAGAGGTAACCTGTAGACCAAGCACCTACAGTATCTGAATGAGCTAGTTAATAGGCAGCTTCACGCTGATTTGTTGGGTTTTGCCAGTTAATCTTTCCCCTTTGTTCCTGGACAAGACTGGGACCTCAGCAGCTTTCCACACAATATATTTTTAGTTACCTGGAACCTATGACTGCTCGTATTGTTAATGGTCTTAATCTGCTGTTGTTTTCTGTCATGTCACACAACCGCCAGGCGATGACAAATCTCCAACCAGAGAGAATCTAACCTTGACATTGCCATTGCTGAATACCCCACTATCAACATCCTTGGGGCTTACCATTGACCAGACTCAGAACTGGACTAGCCGTTTAAATACTGTGACTACAAGAGTTGGTCAGAAGCTAGGAATTGTGCAGCAAGTAATTCATCACCTCATTCTCCAAACCATTGATAAGGCGCAAGTCAAAAGTGTGATGGAATACTCCCCACTTTGCCTGGATGAGTGCAGCTTCTGTAACACTCAAGAAGCATGCTTGTTTGGCACCACATCCACAAATGTTCACTGCCACTACCACAAATGGACAGTGACAACAATGTGTACCATCTACACCATGCACTACAGTAACTAGCACTTTCCAAATCCATGACAATTTCAATTGAGAAAGACGAGGACAACAGATGTGTAGGAACACCACCACCTGCAGTTCCCCTTCAAGCAGCGTTTCCTCTATACTGGATGATTGAGCAGCCTCTCAGAGTGAGAATGGATGGGGGGCAGTTCAACATATTGTGCAGTTTTAGTCTCTGTTTAACGAAGGATGTACTTACAGGGCTGGTGATCCAGTGAGGGTTCACTGGGTTGGGAAACTAGAAGGTGTCGGTTTAAAGTGAGAGGAGAAAGCTTTTAAAAAGGACCGGAGAGGTAACTTTTCACAGAAGGTCGTGCGTGTAGTGCTGCGGAGGAAGTGGTGGAGGCAAGTATAATTACAACATTTAAAAAGCATCTGGATGTGTACATGAATAGGAATAGTTTAGAGGCATAGGTGCCAAATGCTGGCAAATGGGACTGGATCAGATTGAGATAGCCGTTAGGCTCGGACGATTTGGACTGAAGGGTCTGTTTCCTGTGCTGTGACTCTGACTATGACTATTTGCTGCTCACGTGCCAACCAGCATGCCAGTGACTTAATATCCAATTCTAGAAGACTTCAGAGGTCTGCAAGACTGGAAATATATGGAGGACGTTACCTCCCAGCACTTCACCATTCTGGCTTGGAAAAATATTGTCATTCTTTCACAATCATGAAGTTTGCAGTGGAGGAGATTTTAATTGCCATCGTGTGGCTTTTGGCTGAGTGAAGATGGCAGGGTTCTGGAGACGTGACTAGGTATTTGGCTGGCCTTAGTTTTGCATTAGATATCTATTGTTGGAGATTCCCCTGGAACTCCAGCAGAAACTTCAAGTGCTCTTCTGATTGATCTGACAGACAATGAATTGGTAATCTATTCTGTCAGTGTGTTTTAAATTACCTGAACCTTGAGTTCAGTTACTGAACAGATTTTTTTTCCAAGGATTATTTGTCCATCGGAAGTTCCTTTCTGATCTATGTTCTTTCTTTAACTCAGGAATATATGTGATTGGATTCAGTTACCCTGTGGTCCCCAAGGGCAAGGCACGAATCCGGGTGCAGATCTCTGCTGCCCATAGCGACCAGGATATCGACCAATGTGTGGAGGCGTTTATGGAGGTTGGGCGCAAACACGGTGTGATTTCCTGAAAGACATCTGAAGCCTCGCAGCACGCACTTTACAAACTAGCTCATACATGGCATGAAGGATGTTGCTAATATTAGTTGGACTTTGCACCTTCTCATAAACACAAATTCCGAACATTATTCTGCACAGAATAATTAAGTTAACCAAAGATTGTGAGGAGGTTTGTTTTAACTACTAGTGCCTTTTTCCTAAAGGGTGAACCGGATTTGTATGAAATCATTGTCTGTCTTTTATTTCCAAAACTAAAACATTTTAGCCACTTGATCCTTTGATTCAAAGATGTTATGTGGAAGCAAATCCTAGGATATTGAGCACTGGGATGTATGTATAAAGCTGAAGCGTATGTGAGAGGTTAGTCCTATGCAGTTAAGACTCTGCCAGTTGAAAGTTTTTATTTGTCAGCGAGGCTTGTTGTTGTTATTGTATTACATTGAATTAACAGCACGGAAACAGGCCATTTAGCCTAACCAATCTGTTTGTGCTCCACACAAGCCTCGTAATTCATCTATCAATATAACTTTCCAAATATTGATCCTTCTAAGTGAATCCATGAGTCAGGTTGTTTGTTGATATCCCACAGCCAGGTACAGTTCTGTCTCTGGGTGTACGATGTCATGTTTCAGACAGTAAACTGGCTGGTGTGAAGTTGGTTCCACAAAGTCACAGACATACTACACTTAAGATCATCCAAACCATCGAGTATGTACTGGCTGTCTGGAGAGCAGTCCAGTCAATCACATTTCCCCTTCTGCTCTATTCCTTGAGCGGAAAGTTTATTTATTTAGTGCCCATCCAGTCTCCTTTTGAAATAATTCACTGTCTCCACATCCTCCACTTTCATAAGCAGAAAGTTCTAGGTCATTCCCTCTTTTTTGTTTCCTAAAATAAAAGCTGCTCCTCATTCTCTATAGAACTCTTACCCAAAACCTTATATCTGTTTCCTAAAGTCCTCTGCCTTCAGCTATTGGGAGCAGCTTTATTCCAGATCTATCAAAATCTTGTAGTCCTGTTGGATTTCTTGTCATGAAGCCATAGTCATACAGCACAGAAACAGACCCTTTGGTCCTAACAGTCCATGCCAAACATAATCCTGAACTAAATGTCCCACCTGCCTGCTCCTGGCCTGTATTCCTTCCAACTTTTCCTATTCATGTAGCTATCCAAATATCTTTTAAATGTAATTGTAGCAGCATCCAGCACTTCCTCAGGAAGCTCATTCCACATGCAAACCACCATCTGTGTTTTAAAAAAAAATTGTCTCATGTCTTTTTTTAAATCTCTCTCTCCTCTCAACCTTAAAAATGTGCCACCTAGTCTTGAAATTCCCCATCCTAGAGAAAATACAACTACCATCAACTCTATCCGTACTTCTCATCATTTTATAAACTTTTATCAGGCCACCTCTCAACTTCCTACGCTCCAGTGAAAATGTCCCAGTGTACCCAGCCTTTCTTTATAACCTTCTGTACATGGCAATGTCCTGGTAAATCTCTTCTGGTCAGTCTCCCTTTCTGTAAGAAGAATGACCCCAGCTTCTCTGACTTAACCTCATCACCAAAACCCCTCATCCCTGGAACTATTCTGATAAATCTCCTCTTGAAGGGCCCACATTCATCTGCTCAATAGGGAAGAAGCACAAAACAAGAACACAGTACCTATCAACCCTTTCAAAGAACTGTCCAGTTTATCTCATTTCTCAGTGCCCTTCCCCCACAGATCTTAAGATCTTTTCGACGACTCCTTCCTTTTGAAAGTTTTTATTGAAACTGCTACCACCCCCTTTCAGGTGGTGCATTCGGAAGGCAAAATTGTTGTCCCGCTTTTCTTTAGCATGAGGTTGTCTGATTCACTAATGACCTTCTTGGAAAAGGAATTCTGACATTACCCAGTCTGGCTTTTGTGATTCCAGACGCATAGCAATATGTTTGAAATGGCATTTAGCATGCCAGTCAGTGCCACAGCAGTTAGGAATGGGCAACAAATGATACCATTGCCACAGATGCCCAAATCCCATAAATGAATAAAAGAAGTTTCAGAGATAGTAGGAACTGCAGATGCTGGAGAATCTGAGATAACAAGGTGTAGAGCTGGATGAACACAGCAGGCCAAGCAGCATCAGAGGAGCAGGAAGGCTGACATTTCGGGCCTAGACCTTCATTTCTGAAGAAGGGTCTACGCCCGAAACGTCAGCCTTCCTGCTCCTCTGATGCTGCTTGGCCTGCTGTGTTCATCCAGCTCTACACCTCGTTATCAATGAATAAAAGAATGTTGGTTGTGGAGGGTAAGTGCTGGTATGGACCGGTTAGGCCAAACGGCCTGTCTCTTGTGAAAAACAAAAGAACTGCAGATACTTTAAATCAGAAACAAAAATTGAAGTTGCTGGAAAAGCTCAGCACATCTGGTAGCATGTGAAGAGAAATCAGATGCTGCCTGACTTGCTGAGCTTTTCCAGCAATTTCTGTTTTTGGGCCTGTCTCTTGTGTTGTACTATTATGTGTTACCATACAATGTAGGTGTTTTGAGTTCTTAAATATCAAATCATGACTGAAATTATAATCAGAAGCAAAGTGTAATGATTATAGAATCTGTTACCAATAATATGAACAGTAATATTTGTTTTACGTCAAATGAAGTACTTACATAGACTATAGATGTACAATAGTCGCAAGGAATCAAATTGAATATTTTGAAAAGCTTTTTTGACCAAGGAGTGGTGAGAATGTGGAAGTAACTACCACAGTGAGTGGTAGAATAGTGTCAATTCATTTACAGGAAAACTGGACAAATACTTGTGGGAGAACATAATTGAGGGCTATGATGGAGATGGCTTGAATGGAGCATAAGAACCAGCATAGACTGGTCGGGCTGAATGGCCTGTTTTGTGCTATATATCTTCTGTAATCACTGCTGGATTCTTGAAAGATAGAGTTTAATGCTTATTTATCTCTGCAGGTGAATAAACTGTTACAGGCTGTGAAAGAAATTGCAGCATGTGCATTTTGTATCAGTTTTGAAATCTTCAGTGAAATAACTTGAGCACGTTGACAAATAGTCAGTACATATGGAATGCAGGAAATATTTGAGGGCAAGCAGATTAATTATTTAGTACAGAAGAACTGACTGTGCTGCCAAATTGCTCTCAATTGACCACAATATTTTCAGTTGCACTGTTTATGTATAGGAATCTCCAGGTTGTTGATAAGATATGGTGAGCTGCCTATGCAGAGAATGGTGTTCAGTAAATCTCCATTCTCTGCAGATGTGCTCCTTTTAAAGTGAGGGATGCACCAGGGCATTGACTGTTGGAATTAATTGACATTGCTACCCACTCAAGGCTAGGGTGCAACTTAGTTATGCTGTGCTTTGACTTCAGCTTAAATAGTAACATGAAGAATGACTGAAAAATAATGCTTTAAATAACATATTACTTTCTTAAATTACCAAGTTCACCACTGACTGTGTCTCTGTTGATAAATTGGTATCTAAATTTGCTTGTGCAACTGTTATTGGATTAAAAAAGAAATGGTTTTCAAACACATTTGACAGGAGCACAATAAAGTAATGGATGCATTGCAGTTCACACTTGGAGTCCAGGTAGCTGTGGTAACACACTTTTACGAGCATGTTGTAGCTGGGGGCTATGCATAATTGAAGGTGGAGGCTCTAACGTTGTGTCTATCCCATGGCTGACCTGGAACCTTTTCCTCTCTTACTGTCAGCCCTTGGTGTGTATCAAGGATTTCTAGGGGTGTTGCTCAACCTGTTTAGCAGTGATGTAAACACATCTTCCTTGGCTAGCAGATTCTGAGGTGGGATTTGAATCCAGAACTTCTGGCTCAGACAAGGACACTGCCCACTGACCCTAGAATCTCCTTAAGAAGGTTAAGAGGTGTTCAAAATGACAAGGAATTTTAATAAGAATATGGAGGAATGAAAATCACCAGTGGCTGGATGGGCATTTAAGTACATTCAAGATAAAAGGATAATTAGGGAAAGAGTAGAGCCCATTATGGACCACTGTTTTGATGATGCCACTTTTTGCAGGTGCATCCGCCACTGATGTTGACAGCACCCTTAGCTAGGATCAGTCCATTTCCCACATCATCAATAGGATCCCTCCTTGTCCTCACTTTCCATGCCACCAGCATCCACATCATAAACTGCCACTTCCAGCAGGTTGCCACCACTAGACACTTATTCCCCACACCCCCTCATTATTTCCAAGGGATCGTTCTCTCCACAGTTGCTGCCAGACCTGTTGAGTTTGTCCAGAAATTACAGTTTTTGTTTAAGGACCTCAGTGGTGGAGTCAGAGGATGGAAATAGGGTTCTAAATTAAATCTTTGTGTCAGTGTTCATGAGTGGGAAGGATGGTGTGGGTATAGAAAACAGGGAGTAAGAAATTAGCACAGGCAGTGAGGAGGTTCCGTGTGGTCTGGAAGCCTTAAAAGTTGATAAATCTCCAGGGCTGGATGAAAATTATTTCAAGCTGTTAGTGAGCTAGGGAGGAAATAGAAGGAACATTGGCAATAATTTTCAATTCCTCTTTGGCCACAGGAAAGGTGCCAGAGGACTGGAGGACAGCCAGTGTGGTACTATTATTCAAGAAGGGATCAAGGGATAAACCAAGATCCCTTGGTGGGGAAACTTATTTGAAGCAGTTCTGAGGAACAGAACTAATCTGCATGTGGCAAGGTCCCACATGGGAGATAGATAGCTAAGGTAAGACCCCATGGAATCCACGGAAATTTGGCAGATTGGATCCATAATTGGCTGAGTGGCAAGAAACAGAGGGTATTATTTGAGGGGTGTATTTGTGACTGGAAGCCAGTGACCAGTGGGGTTACATGGAATCAGTGTTGGGGCCCTTTTCTGTTTGTGGTATTTGTAAATGATTTAGACTTGAATGGAGGAGGGTTCATCAGTAAGTTTGCAGATGATGTGAAAATTGGTGGGATGGTAAATGGTGAGCGGGATAGCCTTAGATTACAGGAAGATGGGCTAGTCAGATGGGTTGATCAGTGGCAAATGGAATTTAATCTGGATAAGTGTGAGGTGAAGGTCTTGGGTAGGACAAACAAGGTAATGGAATACATGATGAACAGTGGAGCCCTGGGAAGCACTGAGGATCAGAGGGACCTTGCTGTGCATGTACACTGGTCACTAAAGGTATCAGTACAGGTAGGTAAAGTGTTTTGAGAAGGTATATGGGATACTTGCCTTTATTACCCAAGGCATAGAATCCCTACAGTGTGGAAGCAGGTCATTTGAGTCCACACCAACCCTCTGAAGAGCATCCCACCCCACTACCCTGTAACCCTGCATATCCCACCTAACCTGCACATATTTGGACTCTGGGAGGTAACCAGAGGAAACCCACCCAGACACCAGAAAGATGTGCAAGTTCAACACAGACAGGCAGCTGAAGCTGGAGTTGAACCTGTGACTCTGGTGCTATGATAAACTGTGGTTGTTTCCCTTGAAGCAGAATAGATTGAGAAGAGACATGATTGAGATATATAAAATTATTAGGGGTACAGATAGGGTCACTAGGAAGGAATGTTACCCCTTGTTAGAGACATCAATGACTGGGGGTATAGATTAAAGGTAAGGGGTAACAAGTTTAGAGGGGATGTGAGGAAAGTTTTTTTTTCACACAATGGGCACTGGGATTCTGGAACTCACTGCATATAAGGATGATAGAGGCAGAAATTCTCAACATTTAAGGAGTATTTAGATATGCATTTGTAATGCCAAGGCATATAAGGCTGTGGGCCAAGTGCTAGAAAATGGCATTAGATTAGAATAAATGTTTGTTTTTGACCAGCACAGACTCAATACACCAAAGGGCCTTTTTCCCACTGAAAACCTCTATGACTCAAATATAATTACAGGATAGATTTAAAATATTTGGCATAAAAGCCAGTGAATGAAGTTATGATTTCATCACTCAGCAATTTATGATCTGGTGCCTGAAATGACAGTGCAAGGCATTTCACTATTACCTTTCAACTAGGCGTTGGATATATACCGTCAAGAAGAAAGGTGCACAGGGCACCACCAATGAAGAGTCAGACTGAGCAGCATTTTCAAATGGCCAGCACAAGCAAGATGGGTCAAGTTGACTTCTGTGTTGTGTGGTTCAGTTTGTGATCTTCACACACAAAAGCACAATAACAAAGTCGTCAGAGGGCAAGGCAATATTAACCAAAGGGTCACGCACTTAATGGAGGAAGGTTTGGTTTCTGTCTGCTTCACAATGTGGTCCTTGAAATCAAGGGAATCACTCAACAGTCAGCCACCCGTATTCCCTATAGTGAACATTTTACATCTCTGGTTTTGAACACGTGGATCTGAATTCATGCATCCATCAGAAGGTCAACAGAGTAAAGTACAGCACTTTTGTGAATTTGCTAAGGCCATGAAAATTGACTGAATGCTTAATGGGAAATATGGAATTCCAAGCACAAAGAAGGTCAAGTCGTCCCTTGCATGAGCAAGTGAACACTCCCACCTAGTAATGTTTAGAATAAAACTTTTTTAAAAAATTTGTTGAGTTCAGACTGAGTCATTTTGTTTTAGATCACCCATTGTCTTGTGAAGTGTTCTTGGTTAAGTGTCTGAGGGAAAAGCCAGCTCTCAAGCTTTTTATATATATTTTAACTGTTCACAGGACATGGGCATTGATGACTGGAGCATTTCTGGCCCATTCCTAATCCCTGAGGGTCATAGTGAGCTGCCTTAAACCACTGCAGCCCTTGAGGTGGAGAGACACCCACAGTGTTATAAGGTTTGATATAAACTCAATGGCTGTCTCAGAGGGCAGTTAAAAGTCAACAACATTGCTGTGGGTGTGGAGTCAAATGTAGGCCAGACAATATTCTTTTCTAAAGGGCATTAATAAGCCGGTTACGTTTTATAATAATCTTTCATGGTAGAATTAGAACCATAAGACCATAAGACATGGGAGCAGAAATTAGGCCATTCGGCCCATTGAGTCTGCTCTTGCATTCAGTCATGGCTGATAAGTTCTTCAACCCCATTTTCCCACTTTCTCCCCGTAACCCTTGATCCCCTTGATAATCAAGAGCCTATCTATCTCAGTCTTAAATGTACTCAATGACCTGGCCTCCACAGCCTTCTGTGGAAGTGAATTCCATAGATTCACCACCCTCTGGCTGAAGAAGTTTCTCCTTATCTCTGTTCTAAAAGGTCTTCCCTTTACTCTAAGGCTGTGACCTCGGGTCCTAGTCTCTCCTACCAATGGAAGCATCTTCCCAACATCCACTCTGTCCAGGCCATTCAGTATTCTATAAGTTTCAATTAGATCCCCCCCCCCTCATCCTTCTAAACTCCAATGAGTATAGTCCCAGAGTCCTCAAACATTCCTCATATGTTAAGCTTTCCATTTCTGGGACCATTCTCGTGAACCTCCTCTGAACCCGCTCCAGGGCCAGTACATCCTTCCTGAGATATGGGGCCCAAAACTGCACACAATACTCCAAATGTGGCCCGACCAGAGCCTTATAAAGCCTCAGTAGTACATCCCTGCTTTTATATTCAAGTCGTCTCAAAATAAGTGCCAACATTGCATTTGCCTTCCTGACTACTGACTCAACTTGCAAGTTTACCTTGAGAGAATCCTGGACTAGAACTCCCAAGTCTCTTTGCACTTCAGACTTCTGAATTTTCTCCCCGTTTAGAAAATAGTCCGTCCATGCTTTTATTCTTCTTACCAAAGTGCATGACCTCACACTTTCCCACATTGTACTCCATCTGCCACTTCTTTGCCCACTCTCCTAACCTGTCCAAATCCTTCTGCATCCTCAATACTACCTGTTCCTCCACCTATCTTTGCATCATCTGCAAACTTAGCCAAAATGCCCACAGTTCCTTCATCGAGATCATTAATGTATAAAGTGAAAAGTTGTGGTCCCAACACTGGCCCTTGCAGAACACCACTTGTCACTGGCTGCCATCCTG